CCCCGCTCATGTTCTCTCTCTCTCTCACTCTCTCAAATAAATAAAATTTTTTTAAAAATTTTAAAGATTAGATTCAGCTGCATGTAATGAAAAATCCCAAGATCATAGTGGCCCAAACAAGATTATTCATATTTCCATAAAGGAGGTTAACGGGGGAGGCAATCCTGTAAGGTATAGCACCCACAGAATGCCGTCAGGCACTGGACTCTTCTCGCTTCCTCCTCTGACATCTTTTTTTTTTTTTTAAGATTTATTTATTTATTTGACAGAGAGAGACATAGCGAGAGAGGGAACACAAGCAGAGGGAGTGGGAGAGGGAGAAGCAGACTCCCCACCGAGCAAGGAGCCCGATGTGGGACTTGATCCCAGGACTCTGGGATCATGACCTGCGCTGAAAGCAGATGCTTAACAGCTGAACCACCCAGGCGCCTATCTCCTCTGCCATCTTGAACATGTTTCCTCACAGTCCAGGATGGCTGCCCAAATTCCTGCCATCACTTCCTGAGTCCAGGCAGCAGAATGGAAAAGGGAAGAAGCATATATGCCTCTGCCTTTCAGAAAGAATTTCCAGGAATCTCACACTCTTGCACTTCATGGCATACCCAGCTGCCAGGGAGGCTAGAAAATGTCATCTTTCGGCTGGGCAGCAATAAATCCAACTAAAACTCAGTGTTTTGTTACTCAGGAGGAAAGGGGGAGTGGAGATTAAAAAGCAACCAGCAAAACCTGCCGTGTGGGTCTGTACTTCGAGCACAAGCCATCAGAGCATGACTTGGCAAAAATCCTTCAGAGACTTTTATTCAGAATCAAAAGCCAGGGAAAGAATATATTTGAATTAGTGCACATTTGGTATCTATGTAAATGAAGGCTCTCTGGTGGCTGAGAGTGTTGAACTGGTTTGTGTCTGATGGAATTTAAACCTCCTGTAATCTCATTCCTTTCTACAAAGGATTTGCTAAGAAAAGAGAAGCTTTGGTCCAGCCCACCTTTAAAGTTTCCTTAAATATGAGACAGTTGAGTCTTGATTAGGGGAGTTAAATGTTGGGAATTGGATGCCACTTCCCACATATCTGGTTTTACCCCATTAAAACAAAGCTGAGGAACTAAGAGCATATATCAGAATCAGATGCCTTTACTGCCTGTCTCCCACCCAAACATGTCATTATGTTGACTAAGCTCACAGGCTAATTTCAGTGAGAATGCAGAACTCCAAGGTCTCTTTTCCTGATGTCCACCCTCCTGCGCAGCGGCTCTGTGCCGGGGTGGGGGTGCAGAGCCCCTCCCCAGGAGCCCTGGGCCTGACAGTGAGCCAGGGACCCCCCTCTCCTCCCCACAGCCCCCCATAGAGTCCCCTCTGCAGCTGCCACCTGGTGCATGCAGTCATGGCTTCCAGTTTGTTCCATTCAGGCCCGCTCTGGATTGAGGGGACAGCTTGGGTGGTTCTCTTGCTCTTCGTGGACTTGTGTCATCACCAAAGGGCCTCTTGGAGCATGCTTTCTCCAGAATGTTCCAGCTCTGGGACAGGAGGGAGGGCAGGGAAGTCATCCCGCCCCCGGGAGCAGCTCCCATGCATGCAGACTGCCCACATCAGGTGCCGGCGGGAGGGAGCCCTTTCCTGATTGTACGTGGTTCCTCCAGGCTGAGCTGTGTTCAGAGCAGATGCAGAAAAGTAGCGTCAAGGGCCAGACCCCATCCCAGGGCAGCGCCCCCAAGTGAGGGTCAGCAGGAGCGATAAAAAAACCTGCATCCTTAACATTTTTCCTATAAAAACAGACTTTTTACTAGTTGCATTAATTTCCTTGTGAGCTCTGGAATGTGTAAATGTTATTTTCCTTTATTATGTTGACATGGTGCCTCTTTCACCCAGCCATGCTCCCCCTGAGATGTTATCAGGAATCAGGCAGAGAGGCTATTGGGAGAGCTTTAGAACCAGCCTGGACCTCGGGCTCCACGGGCAGGAAGTCCTCCCTGGGGTTGGGGAGCCTGACCCCCTACCTCAACCCCCAACTCAACATGGGGTTTGTTTTCTTCCACATTTACTTGCTTAGTAAATCTTGTTGTAGTATCTGTTATCCTCCAGTTAAGTGAAACAATAAAACTGAACTCTGTTGAACTATAGGATTTGTGGGAGCACAGGTTTAAAAAAGCGCTAATATGATCTTTGGGGAGGTCTATCTCTGGATGTCAAAGCCATCTTTCAGATTAAAACTAAGAGTACCAGTTAGGGTACTGGATC